GAAGAACCATCTAACTTTTGATAAAATAGAATTTTTTCGAAAGATTGGACTTGTTCTTGAACTTCCATTAATCTCTTTAATACGTATTTTCTCTGAGCGCTAGCGGACCGATCCAAAGTACCCCCCCCCCCCCCCTCTCCAATTTTCCATTATGTTGTACACGTAGAGCTAGGAAAATGACTGTCTGCAGGAAGACTAGTCCGCTATCGAAGAACCATCTAACTTTTGATAAAATAGCATTTTTTCGAAAGATTAGACCTTGTTCTTGAACTTCCATTAATCTCTTTAATACGTATTTTCTCTGAGCGCTAGCGGACCGATCCAAGTTACCCCCCCCCCCCTCTCCAATTTTCCATTATGTTGTACACGTAGAGCTAGGAAAATGACTGTCTGCAGGAAGACTAGTCCGCTATCGAAGAACCATCTAACTTTTGATAAATAGCATTTTTTCGAAAGATGAGACCTTGTTCTTGAACTTCCATTAATCTCTTTAATACGTATTTTCTCTGAGAGCGCTAGCGGACCGATCCAAAGTTACCCCCCCCCCCTCCAATTTTCCATATGTTGTACACTTAGAGTTAGGAAAATGACTGTCTGCAGGAAGACTAGTTCGCTATCGAAGAACCATCTAACTTTTGATAAAATATCATTTTTTTGAAAGATGAGACCTTAATCTTGAAGTTCCATTAATCTCTTTAATACGTATTTTCTCTGAGCACTAGCGGACCGATCCAAAGTTACCCCCCCCCCCCCTTCAAATTTTCCATATGTTTGTACAATTAGAGTTAGGAAAATGACCGTCTGCAGGAAGACTAGTTCGCTATCGAAGAACCATCTACTTTTGATAAATATCATTTTTTCGAAAGATTAGACCTTGTTCTTGAACTTCCATTAATCTCTTAATACGTATTTTCTCTGAGCGCTAGCGGACCGATCCAAAGTTACCCCCCCCCTTCCAATTTTCCATATTTGTACACGTAGAGTTAGGAAATGACTGTCTGCAGGAAGACTAGTTCGCTATCAAAGAACCATCTAACTTTTGATAAAATAGCATTTTTCGAAAGATGAGACCTTAATCTTGAACTTCCATTAATCTCTTAAATACGTATTTTCTCTGAGCACTAGCGGACCGATCCAAAGTTACCCCCCCCCCCCTTCAAATTTTCCACATGTTGTACAATTAGAGTTAGGAAAATGACCGTCTGCAGGAAGACTAGTTCGCTATCGAAGAACCATCTAACTTTTGATAAAATATCATTTTTTCGAAAGATTAGACCTTGTTCTTGAACTTCCATTAATCTCTTAAATATGTATTTTCTCTGAGCGCTAGCGGACCGATCCAAAGTTACCCCCCCCCCTTCCAATTTTCCATATGTTGTACACGTAGAGTTAGGAAAATGACTGTCTGCAGGAAGACTAGTCCGCTATCGAAGAACCATCTAACTTTTGATAAAATAGCATTTTTTCGAAAGATTAGACCTTTTCTTGAACTTCCATTAATCTCTTTAATACGTATTTTCTCTGAGCACTAGCGGACCGATCCAAAGTTACCCCCCCCCCCCCTTCAAATTTCCATATGTTGTACAATTAGAGTTAGGAAAATGACCGTCTGCAGGAAGACTAGTCCGCTATCGAAGAACCATGTAACTTTTGATAAAATATCATTTTTTCGAAAGATGAGACCTTAATCTTGAACTTCCATTAATCTCTTTAATACGTATTTTTCTCTGAGCACCAGCGGACCGATCCAAAGTTACCCCCCCCTTTCCAGTTTTCCATATGTTTGTACACGTAGAGTTAGGAAAATGACTGTCTGCAGGAAGACTAGTTCGCTATCGAAGAACCATCTAACTTTTGATAAAATAGCATTTTTTCGAAAGATGAGACCTTGTTCTTGAACTTCCATTAATCTCTTAAATACGTATTTTCTCTGAGCACTAGCGGACCGATCCAAAGTTACCCCCCCCCCCCCTTCAATTTTCCATATGTTGTACATTAGAGTTAGGAAAATGACCGTCTGCAGGAAGACTAGTTCGCTATCGAAGAACCATCTAACTTTTGATAAAATATCATTTTTTTCGAAAGATTAGACCTTGTTCTTGAACTTCCATTAATCTCTAAATATGTATTTTCTCTGAGCGCTAGCGGACCGATCCAAAGTTACCCCCCCCCCCCTTCCAATTTTCCATATGTTGTACACGTAGAGTTAGGAAAATGACTGTCTGCAGGAAGACTAGTCCGCTATCGAAGAACCATCTAACTTTTGATAAAATAGCATTTTTTCGAAAGATTAGACCTTTTTCTTGAACTTCCATTAATCTCTTTAATACGTATTTTCTCTGAGCACTATTCCAATTTTCCATATGTTGTACACGTAGAGTTAGGAAAATGACTGTCTGCAGGAAGACTAGTCCGCTATCGAAGAACCATCTAACTTTTGATAAAATAGCATTTTTTCGAAAGATTAGACCTTTTTCTTGAACTTCCATTAATCTCTTTAATACGTATTTTCTCTGAGCACTAGCGGACCGATCCAAAGTTACCCCCCCCCCCTTCAATTTTCCATATGTTGTACAATTAGAGTTAGGAAAATGACCGTCTGCAGGAAGACTAGTCCGCTATCGAAGAACCATGTAACTTTTGATAAAATATCATTTTTTCGAAAGATGAGACCTTAATCTTGAACTTCCATTAATCTCTTTAATACGTATTTTTTCTTAGCACCAGCGGACCGATCCAAAGTTACCCCCCCCCCCCCTTCCAGTTTTCCATATTTTGTACACATAGAGTTAGGAAAATGACTGTCTGCAGGAAGACTAGTTCGCTATCAAAGAACCATCTAACTTTTGATAAAATAGCATTTTTTCGAAAGATGAGACCTTAATCTTGAACTTCCATTAATCTCTTAAATACGTATTTTCTCTGAGCACTAGCGGACCGATCCAAAGTTACCCCCCCCCCCCTTCAAATTTTCCATATGTTGTACAATTAGAGTTAGGAAAATGACCGTCTGCAGGAAGACTAGTTCGCTATCGAAGAACCATCTAACTTTTGATAAAATATCATTTTTTCGAAAGATTAGACCTTGTTCTTGAACTTCCATTAATCTCTTAAATATGTATTTTCTCTGAGCGCTAGCGGACCGATCCAAAGTTACTCCCCCCCCCCCCCCCCCCTCTCCAACTTTCCATTATGTTGTACACGTAGAGCTAGGAAAATGACCGTCTGCAGGAAGACTAGTTCGCTATCGAAGAACCATCTATCTTTTGATAAAATATCATTTTTTCGAAAGATTGGACCTTGTTCTTGAACTTCCATTAATCTCTTTAATACGTATTTTCTCTGAGCACTAGCGGACCGATCCAAAGTTACCCCCCCCCCCTTCCAATTTTCCATATGTTGTACACGTAGAGTTAGGAAATGACTGTCTGCAGGAAGACTAGTCCGCTATCGAAGAACCATCTAACTTTTGATAAAATATCATTTTTTCGAAAGATGAGACCTTTTTCTTGAACTTCCATTAATCTCTTTAATACGTATTTTCTCTGAGCACTAGCGGACCGATCCAAAGTTACCCCCCCCCCCCTTCCCGTTTTCCATATGTTGTACACATAGAGTTAGGAAAATGACCGTCTGCAGGAAGACTAGTTCGCTATCGAAGAACCATCTAACTTTTGATAAAATATCATTTTTTCGAAAGATTAGACCTTGTTCTTGAACTTCCATTAATCTCTTAAATATGTATTTTCTCTGAGCGCTAGCGGACCGATCCAAAGTTACCCCCCCCCCCCTTCCAATTTTCCATATGTTGTACACGTAGAGTTAGGAAAATGACTGTCTGCAGGAAGACTAGTCCGCTATCGAAGAACCATCTAACTTTTGATAAAATAGCATTTTTTCGAAAGATTAGACCTTTTTCTTGAACTTCCATTAATCTCTTTAATACGTATTTTCTCTGAGCGCTAGCGGACCGATCCAAAGTTACCCCCCCCCCCCCTCCAAATTTTCAATATGTATTACACATAGAGAGGAATAGGAAAATGACCGTCTATTTTAACCTTAATATTTCTAGTTTGATATAAATAATAATATCATTTATTATTTTTGCAAACTATTCGTTTTTGTTTAAAATCAGATGAATAAACAATTTATTTAGTTGCATTAATTAATTTTTAATTTTAGACCCTTATACTTTTTACATTCTTCAAATTGGTTTTCCGGCTGGAGTCCGGCCAACTTCCATTCAATAGTGACGATGCTCTCGCGACGACAAATGTTGTTGTTGTGTTTTGGTTTAATGGCGATTA